AATATTTTAATTATTTGTTATTTTTAGATTGAAAAATGATAATGAACAGTTGGTTTTGCAAAATAATAAACTTAAAACTATTATTTCATCACAAAGCAATAAAATTAAAACATATAATGATTTCATTAATTTAGAAAATTATAGATTTGAAAATAGATTTAATAATACATTAAATAAGTTGTTAAGTCCTACACAAATCCAATTGCTTCTTCATCCAAAAAAAAAAGTTTATTCGTGGGAACCAGAGGATATATCATCTGCAATAACTTTGAGAAGTATTTCTCCTAAAGCCTATCGTTATTTGAGAAATGAAAAACAGTTTCCATTACCTGGTAAAATAGTATATCTTATAGATATTTGTCATAGTTAAGTCATTAAATTAATTTTAGGTCTATCAACGTTAAGAAAATGGGCCTCAACATTTTCTATCCAACCAGGAACCCTATCAAGTGTAATTACTTTAATGAAAGCAAAAGGTACATTAAACAAAAACAATTAAAATATCTTAATACATAAATTAATATTAATATTATATTATAAATGCATACTAAGGATCCTTAATGTCAAAGACTGACAAATTCACAGTACTTTCTTTTGATGAAACATATGTGTCAAAGAGAATATGTTATGATAAAGCATATGAGCAGATTATAGGCCCCAATAAATGTGTACAAACAGTCATGGCTAGAGGTGAAGCAGTTGTAAAATATCTTAACAAATTACAATATGAATAATTTATTTTATGAATAGGTTTGTTAAGTAATTGGAAACAGGTGATCTACTATAACTTTGACACACATATGACAAAAGATATATTGATCTCAATAATTGAAGAGCTACATATAATTGGTTTCGATGTAATGGCAATAGTAAATGACATGGGTTCTGCAAATATGGGCTTATGGCGAACTCAAAACATATCAATTACCAATACTTCATTTACACATCCGATAACAAACCAAAATATATATGTATTTGCAGATGTTCCACACTTAATTAAATTGGCGAGAAATCATATACTTGATCAGTAAGTAGATTTCTATCTAAGAAATGAAAAATAAATTCATAATTTCTATGTTATTTACTTTTAGTGGTTATATTCTTCCCAATGGAAAATATGTAGGTAAAAACATATTTCAGGAATTAGTGAATTTAAATAGTGTAGACTTTAGAATGGCACACAAATTAACACAACGCCATATTTCAGTCGAAGGGACAGGTAGAATGAATGTTCGACTGGCAGTACAACTTTTTTCTATGACCGTTGCTAAAGCACTTATTCATTGTGAAGAAAATAATTATATAAAAATAAGCAACTTAAAGGATGTAAGTAATGTTGATCTAAATCATTATATATCTATACAAAAATGAAATATTTATTTTTAAAAACAGGCTTCTGATATTATTTTGTTATTTAACGATTGGTTTGACCTTTTTAATACACAACATAAATTTGACAATGGTATACCAAGTTATGGTCTAGACGAAATAAATCAAAACAAACTTATTGATAAAATGAATGAATTTATAATTAATATGAGGGTTCATGGGAAGAAATCTTTACTCCCATTTCAAAGAGGTAAGTTGATGATATTTCAGTATCATTACCTGTTTAGAAAAGGGTAAAATTAAAATAATATGTGTATTGGAGACTTTTCATTTAGGAGGCCTCTTCATAATTTATATTTCTATGTCATTATTTTATTATTTTAGGTATATTGATAAGCAATAAATCAATTAAATGTTTACTTGATGACCTCAAACGTGAAGGATGTTCATTTATTTTAACAAGGAAACTTAACCAAGACGTTTTGGAAAACCTTTTCAGTGCTTTAAAGGGAATGGCAGGGTCAGCAAGCAATAACATTACTGTGCTAGATTTCAAATATTGGTAAATACTTAAAATTATGATATCATTATTAATACTAAATACATTTTGGAATAGTTGATTATGAAGATACAATTGGTATACAATTAAATATTAAGCCATGACACTATTGAATATTCTATCCATTTAGTAAAACTTTCTTCATTTCAGTCTCAGATGGAGTATTTTAGGTAAAAATTCTAATTTTATCTTTACCGAGAATACAAACACAGAAGTTGGCCTTGAAACAAATATTGTTGACAATACAATTTGCTTAACAAGTACAATGATCCAAGAATCAAAGTTATTAGCACCTCAAGATTACTCCGAGTATCATGATGTCGAATTGGCTAATCTTGAATCACAATTTGGCATGGCGTCCACAATAACAGTTCCACAACAAAGTTTGAACCTTTTAAAGCAATTTGAAGTATATATTATTAAAAATTATTTTTTATGTTTAAGACTAAGTACCTACTCACAAATGTTTTTCTTCTATTTTAATGTATCTTGAAGATTGAAAATGAAGAAATTAATTCAAATCCATTTGGACAGCTTGAAGAAGAATGTGCTCAGTATGTCGCCGGATATGTTGCAAGCAGATTCAGCCATAAATATCCAGATTTAGTTGATGAAACGGGTGAACACAAAGCTGGTTGGATAAAACAGTTATCTAAAGGAAACCTGAAGATACCTTCAGAAAAAATAATGAATGCTATGAAAATTATAGAAATAGCTTTCATACAATTCCATGGTGATAATTTGGTTAAAACACCATGGGTTATGAAAACATTAACTAATATAGTATTACCAAAAATAAATTACCTTAATATACCTGTTGAAGTGGTTAAATGCCTTGTACGAACCAGGACATTTATAAGGATGAATAATCTAAATAAAATTGTATTGGAAAAACAGTTACATACTCACCGTATTAAAAAGTCCAAATTTACAAATTAAATTATCACGATTAAAACGAGTACTTTTTTATTTTACATAATAATTTATTTTATATCTGGTGTGTACTTCCTGTTTTGTGTGTTGCTAATAACCATGACAAATATGTCATGCGAATAATTATTTAAATTTTAAACTGAAATTTTCAGATTTATTTCTTTCAGTAAATAGTAAATAACATAATATATTTAAAATTTAAAATATACCGGTCGGCCGTCGGCGCGCGGCGGTTACGGGTCATCGGAGAACGGCTGACGTCATTTATGTGGAGGGGGGAGCTATGTGTTGCGTATCACAAAGTTGCTATCATACCTATCTATTTTGTCATGGTTCGTGTACCGTTTCGGCTAGTACTTGTAAACAACCTGTCGCTAAATATGATGCGGGTACTGTGCCATATGTGACCGTGTTCAGTCGATATATTTGTATAGGTTGATTAGGGTCCGTGCGCCATAATATTCTTTGATAATCGCGATGTTTATCAGTCATTAATATTTGCCGGTACATTTTAACTATGTCGGCCGTTAAAACGTAATTATGAGTTCGAAATCGTGAAATAATGTATAATAAATCGTCTTGGATAACCGGGCCCTTTAATAACACGTCATTAAGACTAATACCGTTATCTGTTTTGCAAGATGCGTCGAACACTACCCGCAACTTTGTAGACGTGCTACTGTCTTTTCTAACGGCGTGGTGGGGCAAGTAACACGTTTGATCTTCTTTTTCGAGTTCGCTCTCATCTACCCGTTCCATATGGTTTAATGACTCATACTCTTTCATAAAAGAAAAATATTCTTCCTTTAATTCCTTATCTTTTTGGAACTTACGTTCTATTGCTAAGAAGCGACGTTTTGCGATTTCGTACGACTTTCCTAGTTTTATTAAATCGACCCGAAACGGTAGGTGTACGACAAAACGTCCTTCGTCATTTCTAATAACGGTCTTATTAAAATATTCTTGACAAGTACGCTCCTCGATTGTATAAAGTGGTGTATCGCTTACGTCTTCAATCAGCCAAAATCGTTGTAATGCGTTCTCTAGCGTGGATTCACTATCGGTTGCGCTAAAAAACGTGTTCGAAGTCGATGCCTTTGATAAACTATTTTCCGATATTGCTCCAGCGGCCACCCATCCAAATACTGTTTCTTTGAATAACGGCCCAGTCGTCGAGGGACGTATTTGTCCATCACATAAAAATTGATAAAAATGCGTTGCGCCTAATAATATGTCGATTTTTTGGGGCGTACTAAAATGTGGATCGGCCAATTTAATGTTATCGGGAACGTTACATGTTGTTGTTATATTTCGCGGAGGTAATTGACCCGTGATCTTCGGTACTACTATCATTGGTAGAAATACCGCGTAATCACTTACGCGGGATTTTATTTTTAACCATACTGACGACGACGCATGTTGTACTATTTCACCGATACCGCTGATTACGTGTTAAATTTTATTTCTTTTTAAACGTAGTGTCTGCACCATCTCTTCCGTTATAAAATTTTTCTGAGACCCGGAGTCTAATAAAGCACGACATGTTGTCGTTTTCATGTAGGGACTCACAGCTAGGGCTACTACCGTAGCTAATAACACCTGTTCACCCGACGCGAATGCGTGGGCGGTCACCGTGCTTAACGCAGGTGTTTCTCCCTCAGTTTTACTGTTTGCTTCTGATGTTTCCGGTGAAAGACATAAGCGCCAAAATGTGATAAGAAAAAAAAAATCGTACCTTACAAAAGCGCCAAAATCGTATCGTACATAAGCGCCAAAATGAGATGAGAAAAAAAATCGTATTTTACAAAAACGCCAAAATCGTATCGTATATAAGCGCCAAAATTCTAGGTACCTGTGTGCTACGCAGTGGCGGCTCGTGCCTAGGTGTGCAAGTGTGAGCTCACCACATATATTAATTAGATATAATAGTGAAAATGTATAATAATAATGCATTTATGTATAATAATAAATTAATTTTAACAAATATCTGTTTAACTGTATTTATTATATAAAAAAATTAAATTTTAAAAACAAACAAACGACAATTATTATTATACTCCGAATTAATATTTTTTAAAGTACTTAATATTATTTTCTAAAACTGTATAATCTCAAAATTAAAAATGCTAATAAATATTTTACTAATTACATTTATGCTTAAAACAGACTAATTTTTTTAAAATAAACTTTTGCAATAATTACACACCGCCTACTTTGAACACCACGAGCCGCCACTGGTGCTACGGTTAAAAGATATTAAATAACAGATAATATTATAATTAGAACTATATCGATCAAAAACTCCAAACGTTTAATCTTAATCGATAAATGTATTATTTTACAAAAACTCAACCAATTTATTAAATTTATATTTATTGCATGTANTAACAATTTATTATTGAACATTTTTTTAATGTAATATATTATATGAAATAAAATATTAAATTTGGCGCAAATGATAGGTCATTATTATACCTTTGGCGCTTATGCCAAGTGTTAAGTACAACAGGTATACAATATTAGATTGGCGCTTATGTCATACAAATTTTGGCGCAAATGATAGGTCATTTTTGTACCTTTGGCGCTTATGTCATGTAGCCGATGTTTCACTCGTTGAATTTGGTTGGTGTTTGTAATTGTTTATGTGTAACATTGTATTATGTGGCTTGGAACACCTTAGACAATTTCGCCCAAGACATTTCCTTTTGTCGTGACGCCGGAGGCAAATGTTGCACAAATTAAGGTCGTTTACTTTTTTAATTCGGTCGATCGCTGATAGTGCGATAAACTTGGGACACTTGTATATAGTGTGCGATAGTTGACATACGTAACATTTTATTTCCGAGGTGTTTACAAATGAAGTAGATGATGTGGTATTTTTTGTACCTTTTTTACCTGTGTAATTATTATTTTCGCTAACATTTTTCGAAACACTGCATATTTTTTTAGACGATTCAACAGCTTCTAATACGTGGAAACGTGCTTCTAAAAATTCGATTAATTCGTCGACCTTTTTGATTTCGTCTCTCCCGCACTTCGTTTCCCAATCGCTTATAGTGACTGCGTCTAATTTAGTACATATAATATGTGTTAACAGCGGTCCCCACTCTGACGGTTGTTGATCCAATGCTCTTAAGGCCGATATATGACCACGTAAACCATCTGAAAATTGCCGCAAGCTCATGGACGAACTCGCTTTGACTGTAGGTAAATCACAAATACCTTTTACGTGTGTTTGTACTAATAATTTTTTATTATTGTATCTCGTAACCAAACTGTTCCAAACGTGTTCATAATTATTAACTGTGGTCTCTAGGTTCTTGACACAGTTCGCCGCATCGTCGGATAGTGACGCACGTAAATGAATAAATTTTTCTATTGTTGTCAGGTGTTTGTTATTGTGAACCAGTGCGGTGTATATATCATAGAACGGAGCCCATTCGGAGTATACACCTGAGAACACGGGTATTTGTAATGCAGCTAATTTTATCGATGGTACGGCATTACTTATCTCTCTTACACCGTTTTTTTCTTTTCCTACTTGTGTGTCGATGGACAAGTTTTCTTTTTTTTCTGATTGTTGAAGTCTCTCTTCCGCTTTGGCCATTGCCTTGAAATATAACTCTTCGAAATCTACTTGATATTCTTCATGTTCATTTGCATCTTCCTCATTCCGAATCTCCGACTGTACCTGTTGAAACTCTTCCCATGCTTCTTCAATCTTCGGTCGTCGTATACTTATTTGTTTAGGATCATTGTCCGGAGTAGACACATAAGTCCAAAATCGTGTTAAATTGCCTTTAATTTGTCCTCGCCGGGCTTTTAGAGTGTTTACCATTTTGCCGATATAAATTAATATAATAAATATGTGACAGCTGGCAACTGATAATTTACGGTATATCGAGGGTTAAGAAATATATAGGCTATAGCGTAATAAGACGTAATTATACCTAACTAGCGGTCTATTTACCAATTCGTAAAGAGAATCTAAACGACGGCAGAATTTTAGCGATAAGAATTTGACTAGGTATACGCTTTTGAACGTTTTGATCGTTCGTTTTCTACGCTGAAATAATATCGTAATCGTTCGTATCTTCAACAATTATCGCATTTATTTTACGAGTTGACTGTTGTACTGTACATAACGCGGCTGATTACACTCGATGTCGGGATAGGAATATCGCGAATTTTTATGAACGTATTTTAAAAATACTAGGAAATTGAGATTCTCTTACCTTACATTTGTCTTCATCAAGATGACCTTGGCACGGGAATCGATCTTCTTCGAGCTTCTCGAACGGGTACACGTGAAATATAATATTAACTGGACCACAATACTATACTTATACGTTTCATACGCACAAGAATATATTCCAACGTATATTCTTTCGATAGATATAAATTTTAATATTATACTCTTCAAATCACGAGAAACTGCACGCGCGAATATACTTTGGTTTAATATAACTAAGATAATATTTTATTATTTTATATACGACTATATTATTCTTAATATTTTAACGAAAACGACGTTCACGTGCAAATCTTGTTCGACAAGGCTATAATTTTTTTATTACGCCTATTTAACCGCACGCACGTGACTTTTAACCGACGCACTCAAAATAAACACAACTATAATTACTATATTATACGGTTTCCGTCCGGTTCGAATGGACCATGTCTAATGTTGACCTTTAATAAAGGAAAACGTAGAATTTAAGTGGACTGTATGCTTTTATTTATAATATAATAATAATAATTGTGGAGCCGCTCGCTGTGCTAGGTACAAACTTCGATACGCGATTAACTCGACTAATCACAAAATAATACGAGATAAATAATGACAATCGCGACAGTGAACGATAAAGCGACTCGAGCGCTAACAATATATGTATAATATATAATTGTATGCACGCCAATCTATAGTCCAAAGTCGTATAAGATAGACGGAGGAGCATTTATGGCAATAACATCATATTATTAGATCTGTACTCAACAATACCTATGTGGTAAATGGTAGGGCTTCACGTGAATTGGCGATACCGCTTCCGAGGTTTTGATCCCGTGTGTCACCGCTGTAGTTGCCGACACCCGATATCCTTCTAAAAAGAAAATGTCAGAGCAATCTTGACAGATGGCCACTAATGATCCCTTTTACTCTGAATTTATATGATTGGTTCTAAGTGCTTCTTCCAATCATTTTAGTCGACTACTATTCGCATGAGGTTCTTCTTGTCGATCCGTGACATGTACTGAATGGATAAGAGCTTCCCTGAATTCCTCGTGGACCAGTTCCTTTAGATTGGGCGTATTTAGTCTTATCGTATCTTCGGTTGGGTTGATAAGTGTGGCTAGCACCCTTTTGTTTTGTTTTCTAGTTACGGCGTTACTGCAAATGACCAATTTTGTGATTTCTTGACATTCAATGATGATGATTTTGTCCTCTGCTTGATTCCCTGCTTCTATTCCCACGAGGGTTTCAGTGAGGGGTTGTAGCACTTTTTCAGCCCCGTCGGGAATTACGACTTCATTAGTCTGATAATTCAGAATGATTTTGTTTTCCACCATAAATGGTCGTCCAAGGATACCATCGTTTGGGATTGGGAATGCAGAATGAACTATATGGAACATTGCAACTATAATTTTATCCTCGATAAACAGTTCCAATTATGTTTGTCCTAGTGTGTGTATTATCTGGTCATTAATGCCCTTTAGGTGATATATGACGTCTTCATACATGATAGTCTGATCAGCGAGAGAAGATATTTTTATTAGATTGAGCTCACTCCCAGAATCTAAGAGTAGCTTCGATTTTTTGCTGATGGTCTGTTCAATGTGGCAAGTTAGGTGATCTCGATCTAATTCTGCTTTGAAGTAGAGGATCTCTCGTTGCCGGTGTTTTTTAACTCGCTCACCGGGCGCCCACCGCTGGCGGACGGTTGCTGCTGGTTTTCCTGCTGGTTGCCTTCCTTTTTGGAGTTTACATAATTCCTTTTACGGTAATCTTTCAGCAAATGCCCTGGCTTTTTACAGTAGTTACATTGAATACTTCTAACAGGTGCCGTTGCAAAAGAAGGTCTTGAGTTTGTCGTTGGCGGGTTGCTCCTGTAGTCCTTTGCCATATGACCAACTTTATTACAGTGAAAACAATTGGGTTTCTTCGTGGGTCAGTGTGGCGCTCCATATAACTTCTTTGTCGCTTCTTGTGAGTTTCTGACCCGTTCTTCTTTCCTTGCTGCTTGTATGGCCCTGTCTAACGTTAATGGATTCCTTGCCTTTATGAATTACTTTAGAGGTCCTAGTCCCTCTACGAATACTTGGATGCTTTGCTTCTTGATGCTCGTTCCTAGCGC